TGGTCAACTTGCTATTTGGAACCTCACTGGGCTTTTAGCTCATTCCACGCCATTTGTTTTTCTTACAGGGGGTACGAATGAGGCATGAGAGTTGTACAGACTAGCGTAGTCTTGTTTTTGGAATTTGCAATTGTACTCGCGCTAACACCCGGTTAAGATTGATTTTACTTGGGTTGTAAATAGTTTAACGTTTTGGGCGTGTATAAATCTTGTAGCTAGATTTGAACATCAATGTATATGTTAAGTTTGAGATTGTTGTTTCATTTCTTCTCTATGAACGGGGTATCTTTCTCGAGTTACGCGTGAGTGAGTCCTGGCGAGAGTTGGGCAGACGGGCCGCTAAATCCTGGGGTACGCCCTAGGGGGAGGTGGGGTCGTCACAATTTTTTCTTCCTTTTTCCCTCCGATTTTCCCCAGAACCTTTCCCAGATTCCCCCTTTGTCCTTTTCCTTCCCCTTTTCCTCTTTTCTTCTTCCTTTTTCTCCCACGAAACCCTCTTTCTCTCCGGTTTTTCCCCCTCTTTCAACCTCTGTCTTTCTTCCTTTCCTTCCCCTTACTTACTCAGCTCCTCTCTCAAATTCCTTCACAACCCTCTTCCTTTGCCACATCTCTTCCCAACTCTCGGTCCCCTCCTTTTTTTCCTTTCTTGCTTTACCCGTAACCTCTCCAAGCTTTTTCTCTTTGTTTTTCCAGGTTTCCTTCTTCTTCCCAAAGCTCCTCACCAACTCTTTTCTCTTGCTCTAGCACGCAGCTTCCTCTTTTCCTTTTTCTCCTTAGCTTTTTCCTTCCTCAGCCCTAAGACTCTCCTCCCGCAGCCTCTCTCTTAGCTCCAACCCCCTATTTTTTCTTGTTTTTTTCCTCCTTGCCCGTAGCTCTTTTCTCTCAGTTTCTTTTTCTGGTTTTTCCTCCTTTTCTCCCCTTTGTCCCGTAGCTCCTTTCCATGTTTTTCTTTTTCTTTTGTTTGTTTTTTTTTTCAAACTTTTCCTAGGGTTCCAAGTGTCCTAACCACCTATCCTCTAGATATTGTGGTGTCAAAAGAAAAATAGAGACACTTGTCTCATTTGCATGCACTTCACCTAGTTTCTTTTTATTTATTTTTTTTCAAAATCAATTTAAGTAAACAAAAATATTAATTCCTAATTGAAATTGCATTGCAAAATTTTCATTTATTTTAAAGAAATTGAATCTTAAAAGGATTAAAAACAAATTTTTTGAATTTTTGTGAGAATTTTCCTTTTCAGAAATTTAATGTAAAAATATCTTAAAAAGAAAAATGATGAACCTAATTATAAAAATAAGAAAAAATAAACACTAACTATCATTTTACAAACTTAATCAACCAAAATCAAATCAAATCAAATCAAATCAAGCAAGAATAAATAATAAAGAATAAAGCTACAATTGAATTGAATAAAAATTAAAATTTTGGTGTCTACAGCTTGCCCCTCTTTGTCTGAGTTTCGAAGAAACTTGAAATAAAGATGTAGACACCAAATACTTACCTGTAGTTATTCTGACGTGAATTGAAACTAGCAAACATAAAAAGGTCTGTGGGATAAAACCCGAGCCTGCCATAACATCGATCAAGTAAAGTAAATTGACATAATTAGAAAAAGCGCAGAGAGACGCGGTTATACTCCAAGAAGGGAGATAGAAGGGCACGCAGTGGATGCTGAGACTCACCAATAGAAAATTAAATTTGATTTATCAAGAAGGGGGCAGAAGGGTGCGCGGCGGACGCTGAGACTCACCAACAAGAAATTAAATTTGATTTGTTCAAGAAGGGGGGTTGAAGGGTGGGCGGCGGACGCCGAGACTCACCAACAAGAAATTAAATTTAATTTGTCAAGAAAGAAAGCATTAGTGCATGATAAAGTTTTTGAATACTCACCTGGGGAACCTTTTCAAAAAATTTTCCCCAGTTTCAACCAATTATTGTGCAACCGATTATTCGCTTTGCATTATGGCATTGTTGCACCTCCTTAAAATTTTGATTCACACCTCTTCCTCGGTCTGAACCATTAATATTCAATTCTTGGGTGACATTCCACAATTATATAAAAAATTTGCCCCAATTTTGTTATTTGAAAAACGTATGGACCTGCAAGAGAAAGAACAAATAGTGCCACCATCATTCGACCTGTCTAGCTTTCGAGAAATGTGTAAACATGAGTATTTTGATGTTTTCCCCTCGATGTTGCAAAAACTCAACTTTGCTCTATGAACTGTATCAAGTTTTGTTGACTTCCGACGCTAATGAAGTATGACATTTGATATCCAAGGATTTTCAATAAATCAGAGAGATTGTCATTTGATAAACCCAAAGGGATAAATGAGATCATGAAACACAAGAAAAATATTTTATTTACACAAAAATGATGAAAATCCAAGTAAAATGAAAGCAACGATTTACCTTTATTGATAGAAAATTGATTTTAGAGAAACGAACCTGTACACTCAAAAATTTATGTTTGATGAACTAAAGCACTTTGATTCTCGAACAAAATGCCACGTTTGACCTTTTGGATATCGTTTTTCTAGAATTCAATACCGACAAAAAAATCACAATGTGAGGAGGAATCCAAACGAACTGAATCACGAGCCTTTCAAATACAAATTCACTTTTTCTCATAAAACCCTACCTTAGCGCCCTTTCGGGTTTTCGCTAAGACTATCCCCACCTTTTTTATTTCCCTTTTATTTTATTTTTATTTTTTTCTTTTTCCTTTTCTTTTCTTTCTTCTTTTCTCTTTTTCTTTTCAAAGGTGTCCTTTTGGGTTTTCACCTGATGAACAAATCCTGCCGATAGCCTTTATCAATTTAGAAATGTGTTTTAAGAAATGATGACATCAGTTCAACAATCCTTCCCTTGCAAAATTGGTGAAGGTGTATTGACATCATTTGCCATTTGATTAGAAAATCTCCTAAAAGAGGTGATGCAAATAACGGAAGCCAGGACTTTCGATTTGTCGTAATGTGGTCAGGTGAGGAACTAAGAAAAAGTTAAGACTTGAAAGCAGATTTTATAAGTGTTTGAATCACCTGAGATCGCATCTTCATAATAACCCTATTTAGGATTAAACTAAAATTGCCCCAGTTTATTCTCAACCGAGGTTCTTTTCTTTAGTTTTTTTTTCTCTATCACTTTTCACCTCTTAAGGCTTCTTCTTTTTTCTTTTCCTTTTTCAACTCAAACTTGCCCCAGTGTAGGGTTTGCGATTCTCAGGAATTGCCAAATGAAATAATTTACTCTAAAAGTTTAAAAGTGATAACTAGGGATAGAATGTCTAATTAGAAAGGGAGAAGGCCTGACTTTCATTCCATTCTTCGCATTGACCCTAAAAGGAAACTTCTACTTATCAGATGAACAATTTCTTACACGTATCCGACTTGATCGGTTGAGGAAAAACTTGTTCATCCATTTCTGCTAGAACAGGTGCTCCACCAATGAATACTTCCTTAAAAATAAAAGAACCTTGCCAATTTGGGACAAACTCTTCTTTTGGCCTCATCTTCCACCGACAAAAGCTACCTCAACGCTTTGTCTCCTTGACTGAATAGTCATGATTTGACCCTTTCATAGTATGCACGAGCCAATCTTTGTGATAATAGTGACCATGACAGATTGCATTTAGTTGTTTCTTATCAAGTGACCACTGATTTTTCTTTCCTTAATTGTGATCCCAATTCGTCTTGAGTTTCTCTTTATACTATTCGGACCTCTTTGAAATATTTTTGATGTCTCTTTGCTACTCCTCTCATTTTGAGATCCAAATTCACATTCGTGAGATATCGAGATTGCTGCCATTCAATTTCGAAACAGTGATATCCAAAGGGTCAGAGGATTTTATTCTTGGCCCTCTGAAAACAATGAGTAAGTAACATAGTAGATAGAAAACTATACATTTTATTGAATTTCAAAATAAAGATCAGACTTAATAGCATGGTACTTGCTAAACAAGATGTGTCTTCAAAAGTGACTTGATTCAAAACTATTTACAAAACATAGTTAAACAAAAGACACACGCATGAATGATTTTCATGGATTTTAACCAAAGACAACTCCTCAAATTTATCGAAACTCCCTTCAAGAGGGAGGGATCTCACTAGTTCGGGATTTTCAAATTTTCTCATTGGGGATAAATGCCTCACAGGTGTCCTTGTGTTCGGGAAAGGGATTCGTACTTATGCTCGGTCCTTGTTCTCCTTTTTTCCTTAGCACTATATCTCCTACTTCAATCATATCCTGGAATTTATGTTTCAATGCCCAGCAATTATTGTTGGGATGCCCTGGAGCTCCAGAATGATAAGCGCAGACGGCTTGAGGGTCATAGCTAGGGGGAACACCTCTAGGATAGATTTTGGGAGGCATAACACCAATTTTTTCGACAGCTTTGAGTTGTTCATACAATTGATCGATGGGTCGGCCTAGGTTGGTGAAGGTTTGATATGGGGTTGGGTTTCGGGTTTCACTGTTTAGAGGATAAGTTTGGTTGTTTCATTGAACAGGTCTTGGATTATAAGAAAAGCGATGTCGAGTTTGAAGATTGGGTTGAAAAATTGGGACGGGCAGTTTAGGTGGGTTCGCATAATTTGGACGATGTCGAGGGTGATTGATAGTAGTAGTAAACAGGGCGTGAGTTTGGGTAGTATGGATAGGGCGATGAATATGTGGGGTATTGCTAAAATCTGGGTATAGAAGACGGGCTTTGGTCCCACACAAAAGCATTTTCTCTTTCATTTTTCTTGAATTGAGGCTCCCTTCCATTTTTATTATGACCTTGCAAGGCGTCCAACTGTGATTTTAAAGCCGATATATTGATAATTTTTCCTGCCCTGACATATTCATCATATTTCTCCAACTTATTGATAATTGCCGCAAATGAACACCCGGTCATGCGAAAAATCTTATCAAAATATGGTGGATCATGCGCCTTAATAAATGTATGGACAATTCCCTCTTCTATCATCGGAGGTTCTACCTTGGCTGCCAATCTTCGCTATCGCTTGGCATATGTCTTATGATCTTCAGATGGTTTCCTTTTAGTGCCTTCAAACGTGGTCCTCGTTGAAGCAAGTTCACAATTGTACTCGTATTGTCTCACGAAAACAGTTGACAAATCCAACCATGTTCTCATTTCCTCAGGCTTTATATTGGAATACCAATTCAGGGCATCACCTTCTAAGCTCTCCGGGAATAAACGTATTGGCAAATTTTCATCATCTATTGGCTTTCCCAACTTATTTGCAAATAGTCTTAGATGCGTCTTGGGGTTACCAGTTCCATCATACTTACTAAATTTGGGTATTTTAAAACCCAAAGGCAATTGCACGTTTGGGAAGAGACACAACTCATCAAAATCCAAGCCTCCAGACTTGCTCAATCCTTGGCTTTTTCTCATGAATTCATCAAATTTATCCAATCTTTTCAACAGATTTTTGTCTATTGGGGTGGAGGATTCGCCTGTTTCCACCTTCCCTTGCATAGCAGCATCCAACATGAATGGCTCAATAGTGGTGTGATGAGGTACTTGAGAGTCTGGGCAATTCTGAGGCATTTGAATGCTGGTCGGGTTGACTTGGATGTTATGGGGGTAAGTATATGGAAAACTGGAATCGGGGTAGGTGAAAGTCTCTTCGGGTATGTTTACAAAGGATGGTTCAAAGGTAACTTGGGTATGGGATAGAGGAGGTGGTTGATGTTCTATTTCAGACTGGCTAATAGGCATGGGATCATGTTGGATACCGCCACTGCTAGCAACCAGTTGGTCAATCATACGCCTTTGGGTTGATATTTCCACGCTCAATTCATTGAATTTGTTTAACATCTCGCTCAATTGAACTCCCAAATTTGCAGTGTCTGCTGGAGGTGCCATGGTGGACCTGTCAGATGATTCCGAATGTGCACTCATGTTTACACGGTTTCTCAAAGCTTGGCTACGTGATTGTGTAATGATGGGGATTCTTCGTGTGGCTATGTTTACAATTACCTGAAAATTTAGGAAAAATCCTATTTAGATTCCCTTCTTGATTAACTGCTAACAAAAAGAAAAAGAAAAAGATGGGAGTTAGTAAAAATTAAAGTAATTCGGATGCAAGTCCTATTGGGGGAGCCCTTTTTGTGCCAAGGGTAGGCCTAGAATGAGAATGCAATCCTCTAGAGTAGACACTATACAATACCTGATGAATCCGATCCACTTATTAATATTCGAGTGAAAAATAATTTGAAAAATTTGGCCAATTGGAGTGACAAGAGACATTTGTCCTAACAAAAATGAGGATAAAGTTCGGATAGATTGATTATTTTGATTAACTCATAAAATAATGTGTGAAAGAGCCTACTCTTGAAAGGATTGTAATGTCTCAATTAGTTTATTCAGTGAACCTTAGATCAAAACCCTAAAAAAGAATAAACGGGTCAAATGGATTGGATAAAATTGATGATTTATTCAAAAATTGATTGGATCACCCTAAAATGGGTAAACTGGTCAAATGAATTGAATGAAATTGACGATTTATTCAAAATTGACTGGATCACCCTAAAAATGGGTGAACAGGTCAAATGAACTGAATGAAATTGATGATTTATTAAAATTGACCGGATTGTCCTAAAAATGAATGAATTGATAAAATGGATTGGAGGAGATTGGTCAAATGGATTGAAAAAATGAAAAATTGGTCCAAATGGATTGAATGAAATTGATGATTTATTTAAAAATCGATTGAATTGTCTGTCCGTTGGTAGTTTCAAAAAAATTCATTGTGATGTATTAGTCTATGAGCCTTCTAAAATCAAGATTTTGGCCTCAATATATTTATCGTCTCAATAATGAGGAATTATTTGTAAATTTCTTCGACTTAATGTCCTTTATGCAAGGGATTTTTACCAATTCGGATAAAAATGACCAAAAGATGATTATTAGATGCCCATAAAAAGTTGCTCTATTATCATAAAAAAGATCGGATCCTACCTTATCTCGTGCACTACTCCTTTGGACGGTACAAGAAATATAGACGTGCAAGTCTCATTGGATTACATATCTGAAACACAAGGTGGCTTATTCCTAACACGGGATTCCCTAAATGGCATTCCCCCTAAGGTTTATACATGATGCTAATTTATCAAAGCTATTAAATATGCAATTTGAAATGAAAACATGACCTAAAGGGACGTTTTGTATGCCAGGGTGGGGCTAAAATGAAATGCAATTATTAACCTACAAATGCAATACATCAAAATTTAAACGTGCAATAACCTATCTAAGAGGGTAGGTTCTAAAAGAGTATCATGCCAGAACTCTTATTTTCTAGCGTTTGTGAATGCAAAAGGCGAGATATCAAGGAAATGTTAGTTCAACACATAACACATTAGTGGAATTAGATAATACAAAAAGCAAAAGAAAAATAAGGAAAGAGGGGTGGAATCCCTCCCTTCGTGCCTAGAGTTCCTAATTGGGTACTGTCGACTCTATCCTAGGTGATTTCTAATATGGATGCATGAGGTTGGCCTCACTAATGCATCTAGACTCGATAAAGTTTCAGGTTCTCAAACTTTCAGACCAAAGGCGAAGGGGCATCAATCCCAAGGCCTAAGAGTCGGTGGTTCGAGTGATCCCTCGGACATTGCTACGCGCACGTCGTGCCACGGCCACATGTCCAAGTGGATCAATCCTAGTCCTAAATAGAGAAGAGTGGTATGACAACCACTAAAAGTAAAAAAAGAAATGAGGGGTTATAAAGTAAAACATATGCATGTATGAAGTGTTCCTTTTGAAGGGAGGGATTAAATACCATCAAATGCGGGTGATGGTTCTAGGGTGGCTACCCCCTCCCCAAGATGCAAGCGCGATATATAAGCTTAAGTGAATGAAATAAAACACATCATTTATCACTACATGCATGGATATCGAGATGATTGCGCGTGTAGAATGCAAGAAATCTCTAAAAAGGAAAAATGCAACCTAAAACCTCCAAATGTGATATATAAAAAGATTAGAAAAAGAAAATGATTGACTAAATCAAATGCTCGGACTTTCTAAGTCCCCAGTGGAGTCGCCAAGCTGTCGCGTCCCTATTTTCGAAAAATAGTAATTACGATTTACGGGATTATAAAAATGAATTTTGATTAAAAAAGAGTTTTCATTTTTTAGAAATTAAATAAAGAAAATCGGCCTAAATGGGACTTTAAAAGTGCGATGATTTTGACCCAAAAATAATAGTTTAAAAAGGGTTTTTAATGAAAAATAGGAGTCGCCACTTGGTATTGAGTTAAGGTATACCAAGTCACCGAAAATAAATTTTTTAAATAAAAGTAGAGAAAATCCTTTTTAAACGACTCCAAATCTACGAAAATCAAGAGAAAAGGGGTCGGGAGTCACGGTTGAAGAAAGGAATGACAAGGATAACATCCAAAACACCCTTTCAACCTATCCAAAACTAGTTGCGTGATTTAGTCAAAAATTTTCTTAATTTGACCTAAAAACATATCACATTTGGATGTTACTATACGAATGCAAATCTAGACCTAATGGATATCGGGGGATCGGAATATCTCTTCAAAACTTGATTGGTGCAAATCACATTAATTGTGATGCCCAAGAGTGACTCTTCGAAGAGATCACGCGCATGCAAAATATGAGACTCGAAAGAAAGAAAAGAAAAGAAAAAAATAATATACATGACCTAAAGGAATGCATCATAACAGGTGCGGGGAACTATGATTCGTGACGTTAATTTTCCCTTTGATAGAGGGAATACGAGCGTGCCAAGACTAGAAGCCATAGTTGTCCATATATCATATTCGAGGAGTATTTCCTATCTAATCAAGCAAGTGATCTAACCTAGTTCTAATTTTCTTAAATGGAATGCAAGTCCACATGTCATATGTCACACATAGGGATAAGGAATATACATATAGGGGAAATATGGGATAAGGGATATACCTATAAGGGAAATATGGGATAAGGGATATACATATAAGGGATATGTCATGAAAAATGATAAAAGACCCTAAGAAGTAGAAAATATGCATGAAAATGTAGTGATTGTCACACAAACATGATCTAACGTGTGGATGGTTCCTAAAGATCTAGCGTTGAATTAATCCATGTCTATAGGTTCCCACTAGCATTGGACTAGCGAGAAAACGGAAAAATGGGCCACAACTAGCGTTGGACTAGTGTGGTGACGTCATACGTTTATTACAATCAACTAAATCAAATAAAACATAATGAAAGTAAGTAAACACATAATATCACATAAAACACATAGCACATAACCATGGTATCTAGATGCAAAGGCTCTAAGAAAGCGAGTAAACATGTAAACACAAAAACATGTAAGCACGCAAACAAATAAAAGCAAATAGGAACCTAACTATTACATTAGAGGACCCTAACTACAATCTAAGGGGAAAAAATGAAATAAAATAAAATAATAACCTAACTAACCTAACCATTACAACTTGGCATTTAAATGCCTCTCAAATAACCAAAATTAACTTAAAATAAATATACAAAATTAAAAGAAATAAAGTGAATAAAGAAGTAAATGAAATAAAAAAACATACAGCATGCAATTACACACATAAAATCACATAGTAGCACATAGGATCAAGTAAAATCAATATAAAGGAGTAGAGTGTACCTCTCTTGAATTGGTGACCTAATGAAACGAAATTTTCCTTTCTATCCTCCAATCACAAAAAAATGATTAAGGTACCACTTTAATTAACAAATAATCATAAGAGATGAAAATAAACATGAAATTGAACATTTAAATGAAAGTAAACAACTCATATTCAAAAATATTAAAACAAACAAGGACCTAATTGAAATAATTAAAAAGTTTGAGGGGTCAAATTATTATTATTACTAATATTAAGGGTCTAAAATTAAAATACAGTAAAAATAAGGGCTTAAGATGAAGCCTACCAAAACCAAATGCTGAACTTCACAAAATGAATGAAAATCCATTTGCTATAATTAAACAACAAAATTACCCAAAATTTTATTAAAAACCAAATCAAAATTATAAATCTATCAAAAATTATTAAACCTTAAAATTCATCCTAAAATTCACAAATAATCTGTCCAAAAATAACATTAAAACATACCGAAGAAAATTGACATTTAAAAGGCACCAAATTGACTGATTTTTCCAATTTTCTGGGCCATAGTAGCATAAGGGGAAACTTGAGGGGTAAAAATTTAATTTTTCTGAAATATTTCATGCAGCTTCGAAGAAGCTCTCTTCCTTGTGCAATTCTAAGTTCTCACATGCAGTTCTCAGGCGCAACCTCAAATGAACGACTAACATCTCAACCAAACCCAATTTGAACCAAAGCACCAAGATTACCAAATATTCTTCTTACTTTCCAACATAAAACTTTTAGATTTAACCGCAAAAAATCAGAAGAAAAGAGCATGCGAATCTGGAAACTTTCTGCAACTTTTCTGATGCTTTGAAATTTTATCGAACCTCATGCGACAATCGTTAACAGCAATCTTAAACAAGAAAACAGCCTCAAATTCTTGTTAAACTCCCTAAATCCATCATCAAGATGCAATACTAAGTACACAACAGAAAGTAAAATCTGAGCTGGGGGAAAAGCTTGCCAACCCCAAATTCTTTCATGAAGCTTTTTACGAATTTCTGGGTTCATCCGAAACAAATTCCAAACCAACAAGATTATGCAACTTATGCTTTTTATTTCTAAAACTTCAATGCCCAATATTCATAAACACAAAGGAGAGTAAAATCAAGAGAATCAAACGGATCAAACATGGCAAAGCAATAGAACCAAAATCGTCAAACCCCAGCAAATGTTCAACAATTCGCACACAAGATGGGCTCTAATTTTTACCAAAAAGAAATGTTAGACTGGCACAAATATGAGCCATGAATACCTAAA